AGCCGCACAGACGGAGGGGCGCGCGCCCAGAAGCGGAACTGGCGCGGCCAGGAGCCGCTTCCGGGAAGCCAGTGCGCAGGCGCCCTAGGCCGCTCCGGCCACGTGACGCGCGCTACGTGCTGCGCTCCTGAAGAGCCCACGGCGCTAGCCCCGCCCCCTCCCCGAAGCGCGGGAAGCTGCAGTACTGACCCTCGAAGCAAAAGGCCCTCCCGCCGCGCGCCGCTCCCTCGCCGCCCATTGGCCCTGATGGTTACTGGGGCGGGGCTTCAGGGAGCCCCGCGGTGCGCATGCTTCACTTTAGTCCCCGCCCCTTCCTGTAGGATCAGCCAATGGGAGACGTCTTACCCGAAGCAGAGGGCTGACTCACGTTAGGGCTGTTATGGCGGCTGCCGGGCGGGATGGGGCCGGTCTTGGGTTTTTCCTGATCTTCCTTTGCGCTTTCGTGGGCCCCGCGCAGTGCTGGGACCATCCGGGTGAGATCCGTAGGGCTGGGTATGTCTCCGCAAGGCCCCTCCTGGCTGAAGGAGCCTTGAGCCCCTCGGCTGCTTCTTCCGCTTCTCGCGTCACCATGGCGGTGGGGCGGGGACGCGGCGCAGCGCTACTGGGCTAGTGGCTGCCTGGTACAGGGAAGGGGGCGCGCTGGGGCCTGTTCCAGGAGGGCCTTTTGGATTGGGCTCCCTTCAAATCGGCTTGTGCCGAAGTAATAATCCCGCTGTGCGGTCAGTGGCGGTTGTACACTCCGAGAGGAATAACCCAGACCCCCTTCCGAAAGTAAACTGAGAACTCTTGTGCGTCTGATGCTTCTTGGAGCTTTTCCTCTTCAACAAGCACGCTGTTGCGTCCTTTGTATTTTCAGTCTTTTTCTGAAAGGAGACCATTGTTGCTAAGGGGAATGTATCTGGACAAACGCTGACCTTTGTGCTCCCTGTTTCAGGGAAGGTTCTGCTGAGGGAGGTACAGGCGCTCACTCTCCACAGAGGTCAGTACACGGCATTCCGGCGGACAGCTGCGGTCCCTCAGTTACAGTGCACAGGAGGCACTGCTGGATGTTCCCATGTCCCTGAGGTTGTTCAGTGTTACAACAGAGGTTGGGATGGCTATGATGTACAGGTAACTATTTAAAACTTGTTAAACATTTAACGAAATAATCTTCTCCCAGGCTTAGTAACTTCTGAATGAGAAAAGAGTAATGGGCTAAGGTGTCAGTTCAGTTTGCTTTTTGTTGGACGACCTGTGATAATTAAAACAATCTAAATACATGTTAGGTTTGGATTTTCCAGAACTACTGTAGGTAATCTTTGAAATATCCCTGAAGGTTCTAATGTAAAAACACTGCATAGTAAACATTCATTGGTTTTAATTAACATGTTGCTCGAGTTTATGAAATCAAACTCATGTTAACCCCAGAGGGTGCTCTTGCTTTGATATTGCTATGTGGATTTCCAATTTTTATTACAGTAGGAAGGGTTATAAATATTTGTATTATTTCAGCTCTACGTTTTATAAATAAATTACAGATTTATGTGGCTTCCTCTTGCGTGTTTGTACATCAGTACTACTCAGTAAATAGTCACGTCTTCTGGTTTGTTAGCTTTTACCTAGACTTCTGCCAATAGATTAACCAGGAATCAAGGCTGAAAATAATTGTTAAAACTGATATGGTATTGAAATTTGAATTGGCAGTTGGTACTGCTGTCCTGAGTTATTAATTTAGAAACTACTGCTTTTTTTCCTGAAACTTGTGTCATTTGCAGTTAGAGGTGATACCTAAGATCAGATACTTCAAGGAAGTGTGAGGCTGGGGAATCTACATACGTTCAACTGCAGAATCACAATCTGATTAAGTGTTGCATGTGAATGCCCAATGATGTCTGTCCCAATTTCTTTTGATTTCTATATGGACACAAATGGAATTGGGTACACTGGATTTCAGGCTTCCATATTCTGTTTTTGTAGTTGCCATCCAGTTTACATGGGACAGGCATTTATGAACTAACTGTTGCACAGGGTATGGGTTATTTTTAGAAGTATTCCTATACCTAAAGAAGGGATACTTCAAAAATCTGTTCAGTGTAGAAAAACAAAATCTTCCAGAGCTGTAACTCTTCTGTGTTCTGAAAGATTGGATTTTTTTAACTTTTAGAATTTTAAAAAACATTCTTGGTTAACTTCAAATTCCTAGTCCTTTTCAGGATAAGAGTGCTCGGAAGTGTTAGTTGATCTGAAAAAGTTCAGAATTTTTTAGGTGATCTGTTAGCGATTACAGCTTTATTTCAGAGCATTTTTGGGGAAGTGGAAAGGTATTTTCATCTCTGGAGCAGGAGGTTTGACTTTGTATTGTGTTTATTTTTTCAGTGGCAGTGCAAAGCAGACCTGGAACATATATACCGCTTTGGACAAATAGAAGTGAGCTGTGAAGGCTACGATTATCCAGATGATCCTTACATCTTAAGAGGCTCCTGTAGTTTGCTGTTCAGGCTAGAGCTAACTGAGGAAGGTGAAAGGAAAGTGAAGAACTCTGGAAGCTTTGGCTCTAGCTATTATCAGTCAAGAAAGGATTCTTCTGATTCTGGTGCTGGAATGATTGTTTTCATTGTTCTTCTGGTTCTTGCTTTTGGAGTATACAAGCTCTTCCTTAGTAACCAGCAGCCTCAGCAGAGTTTTGGTGACAGTGATGGATTCACTAGGCCTTCCTGGCGGAGTGAGCAGGCACCTCCTCCTGGCTTTAAGTCCAGCTTCACAGGTAGGGCTCTAAGCTGTTTATAGTACTTAGAAGAGCGAGCAGAATTGTGCTGTTTGTAAGTGCAGGTGGGTTAGACTTAAAACCAATGCATTGGCAGTTGACTGCTGAATTGGCCACAGAGCCTGCAGCCAGCTTTGCATTCTCTTCTTTGTTCAAAAGTGAAAATAAGAACTTGGTTTCCCACAGGCTTTCAGGGCAGGCTGTGTAGCAAGCTGCCCATTGAACCTTTGAAAATCCATCTCCCCAAGCTCTCCAAGTGTTCTTTTCATACTCTGTGAAATAGGAGGATTGTATCAGGGAAGAATAATTTTCATAAGTAATCTGGAAGAGAGAATAGTCTCACGCAGGCAGAAACAAGCTTATGCCAAAGAGGCACTTTGAAATTTTACAGAAGGGTCTTTCAGGTGTTGGGCTACCTGACCCCTGATTTCATTCACAAAACAGTTGATGGAGTTAAGTATCATGTACCAGTCCTCTGTTTAGCTGGTGCTTCAGCTCCCAGCAATTGAAAGATTTGGTTCCCAGAGCAGGGAACAGCACCTGTGAACTATCATTAGAGGTGCAGCACCTGAATCTCATGTGGTGCCTTTTACCTGAAGTTGGAAATTGTAATAAGCAGTGACAAGGCTGCTGCTAGGAAAAGATGGGCTTTTTCTTTTCCCACAACACTGATGGCTGTTGTCACTTAATAAATGGTCTGCCTTAGATGGTCATAGTGTCTAAGGGAAAGAAACATTATTAGTCTGGTGTCTGACCAACTCGTTTCACCCTCTTAAACACCTGAGATGCTCACAGCACTGGAACTCAAATGATATTCTGACAAATTGTATCATCTCCATCTTTCTTTTTTTTTTTTGTGAGATAGAGAAAGGGTTCTAGCATGTAAATAAATAGCAAGCATTAAGCTTACTTAGTCAAAAGATTATATTTTTGTAATGCTTTTTTTAATACTTTCTTCCAGGTTTGCTCAAGCTTCTTGACCAACAGAGGGTGCCAATATAACTTTTTTTAGATACCCTTGTGCCAGACATGTGCAGCAGAAACTTTCAGATGTACTTGCAGCAGAAAATTACAGGGATTCTGCTTCTGTATTACTAGTGTCTTTGCAAATCAGTTTCCATGTTATTTCAGACTTCGGACAGTCTATGCTGCCTGTGCTTCCGTGACCTTGTGTGGGCGTGGCACTTGCTGCTGGAGTTGTTGTGTTACTTAGTAAGAGCCCTGGTCATAAGACGGGGCTCTGTCATACTGGACGCAGGCAGAACAGATCGAAGGGTTACTTGCTTTTTTTTTTCCTGGCCTGTTCCTTGTCAATTAATTGCACCGATGCATTTTTCATTGCAGGAGTCTGAAATGCAGCAAGGGTAGGGCCTTGAAAATATGTTTACTTGATTACTGAAAATTAAGGCTTTTAAAATGCACATTGGGAGCCATATAAGGCTTAACTTATGGCATTTTTAGTAACTAGTGTCAATGATTTTTCCTTAGATTTCAGAGTATGGAGGAAAACTTCATGAATGTGGGGCCAACTTAAAAATATTTAGTGTTATGGTACTGCGTGCATTTAGTGTCTGCCTTAAATTTTGGCAGCAGAGCAAAAGCTCATCTGAGCGTGTACCTCCATGTGTTCCAGGAATGTATTAGTCTTTGAAAATCTGAACGGTCATGCAAAGCAATGTTGTTCACTTATTGCTGTTAATATTTAATTTGCCTCATTTTAAATCCCCTTAACATGCAGAATGTGTCCTGTGAAACTTCTTTAGCTAGACTATCTTAATTAAATTCTACTTTTTCCCTGTTAGTGGTATGACGTGGTCCTTAATGTTTACTCTAGATATTTCAACAAAAAATGACTCAGTTTTCTGAGTCAATGTTCAGACATGGTGCTTTTGAACAAATGAGTTGGTTAATCTTACTGTTTAACATCATTTTTACAGCAAATTAAGTACTTTTTTTTTTTCCTCCAAATCAGCGTAGTTTAATGGGTATATCATCCCAATGAGAGTTTATCTTTCTCCCAGTGTATTCAAAATGAAATTAAACATCAAATCTGATGTAGACAAACTGATTATTTAAATTATTTTTTTTATTTTCCATTACTTCAAACAATCCACAAAAGTTTGAAGACAAACTAGGCCCTGTATAACTTTTACATACAAAACCACTGGCCTGCTTGTTTAGGAGGGCATATTTCAGGGAGACCCTAATGTTAATCTTCAGTCTTTGCCTTTTACACTTCCTTATGTGTTAAACCTGTGGTTGATCTTATTCTTGCATCTGTATTTTTCTCTAGACCAAAACGTTATTCTCCTTTGATTTTGTATTTTCTCTTTTTATTTCTAAATGGTAGACATTTGGTTCTGAGTCAGAACCTGATGTTAAGCAGGTAACATGTAAAAAAAAATCTGTGACTCCCCCCCTGCCACCCATAACCCATTTGATATGCTTGCAGTTTCATCAAGGTATTTGGCAAGCTTGGTGACTCATGCATAATAAACTTTGCAATGTGATTGCAGTTAGCATGTCTTTTGATAACAAATACCAGACTAGGATTACTAGAAACAATACAAAGTAATGTTAGCTATTAGACTGACCCACTGTTACTCAAAATTTGCAGCTGTTCTGAGTGAGATTAGAAGCTGTGTGTCTTAGTGGTTAGTTCACTGTTTGGTTTTATGTACTTGATTTCTGTTCCTGCATCTGCTTCTGGCCTGGTGTGTGACCTTGAACAGATTATTCTTTCTTCATTTCCTTTTCTATTTTTAATCTAACTTGTCTGTCTATAAATCTACAAACAGGGACTTCTTGTCATGTTTTGCAAACATCAGGACTGTGAGATTCAGTGGAAGCTGACTTTTAATATAAAACTCTTTACATTAGTGCATTTCTATGGGGTTTTTTCTGCTTTCCAAACTGTAAAACCTTTCAGATTAAGCTCAATCAAGAATCTACTGAAGTCAAGAGGAGTTTGTTGTCTAATTATCCATTATCTTTAACAGAGGAGAGTCTTGTTGCAACAGCTGGTTTGAGGATTAGGTGCCACTAACTGATATGTTTTCCATTTTAATTTTTTTAAGAAGGCAACAGCTTTGGGACTCATTCCCATCACGGAAACAATTCAGGACCAGGGTTTTGGACTGGATTAGGAGCTGGAGGCTTGCTAGGCTACTTGGCTGGCAGTCACAGGTAAAATATGCATACTATCAGATTTTGAGTATTTCAGCTTTTAGGAGGTGTGCCATATACTATGTTTACATTGCAAGGAATCTTTAGAGCTGAAGCAGTTTATTTATTGAATAACTGCATGTGTATCAAGTCTAATCTTGTGGTAATATAGTAATGCAGTAATATAACTGATTAAATATAACCACATGTTATATTGAAAGGTTGGGAGTAAGATCATGTAGACATGAGTGTGTTAAAGCATCTTCCTCCATTGTAAAGGTGTTTTTTTGGTTATAACAGAAGTCTTATCAAGATTGCCTGTTTATTAAGGAAGTCAAAACTTGGGCCATAAGAGAATTTCTAGTATACAATGTGCAGTCTTGATCTCATAGTCAAGTAAGGTGAAGCTGAGACAGTGGTGCCATCAACAGTAGAAATTGTCTATAAATTCACTTTGAGTAGAGCTTTAGAGGTTGAAAGGTCATGTCTTAATTTCAGTGATCTTAAAGATCTCTTCCAACCAAAATGATTCTATGAGTCTTTGATCTTGTTTTATTATATTAGCCCCACAAAGAATTCTTAAAAGGTATAATGTGTGAAAGGTTTTATTTGTAAATTTCAACAGTAGGGAATTCTGTATCCATGGAAGCAAGTAATTTTAAATCAGTGAGTCAAAGGTGGTGATATGTTAGTCTTACTGATATAATCTTTTCAAAATAGTTGAGGGATGTTTTCTTTTATCTTACGTGGCTGTGACGTAGGTGTTGCCAAACTGTGTTTAAAGCCTGAAATGTCAAATCTACCTTCCTGTCTGACAGAATCTAAGGTCAGAATTTCAGAAGGAAAAATTTTCTCATTTGCTATTGTTAGAATTGCTTATCCTGAAGGATGAGGTTTAATTTCCTTTTGAAAGTCTACAGATGTTATTGAGGCAACACTGAATATCCTTGCTCTCACCATGTTAATTACGTTAAATAGGGAGGCACTGCCTGCTTACGGTTTTCCCTCAGAGATGCAGTCCTCTTGTTTTGGAGTGGTAACTTCTTAATTTTTCATAAGGTCACTAATGAAGTGCCTTCCTTCTGCTCTCTCATCAGAGCACAGCCACGTTCCCCATACTACAGTACGTGGACAGATGCCACAGCTGCTCCTCCAATGAATGGTCAGTCAAGCAATTCCACACAAGGTACCAGTTCAGGAACAAGAACTGCCTCTGGTAAGACAAAAGATCTTTTAATCTCCTGAAGCTCAAGGACTTTGTCCTATCAAAAATACACAGATGTTAGTTGAGATTCAGCAAGTATGCTTTGTTTTATTTTACCAGTTGGTACAGGTGGGCATGTAACAATGTCCCCTATTTCTGTTTCCTATGGAAGTAGAGCAGCATCGTGGGTTGTGAAACTCCCCACAGGCCTACAGTGGGCATGGCACCAGTATTGGCTTTGTCTTCATCTGCAAGGTGCATTAGTTTAAGGCTTTCCCCTTTGGTGTGCTCTACGCATGCCCTTCTTTAGCAAACATGTACAAACATGATTTCTTTGTAGAAAACGGGTTGTCTAATCTGCAAGAATAGAATATTTTTTAGGCCAGTCAGCCCACAGTTGTTTGCTGTTCTACTTTACGTGGTTATGTTTAACTCATCTCGCTCACCACCTTTAGCCTTTTTAGAACTAGAGTGCCCAGTGGAACGGCTATGGTGGAGCTGACACTTTTTTTTTTCTCTTTGCAGGCTTTGGGGGCACAAAACGAAGATGAAATCCTTGACGTTATTACATCTGAGTGATTGAACTAAATCTTACTGTGTACTAGTACTTTTTTTTTATTAGTGGTAGGCTTCAAAAATGGATATGAGAAGAGGTGTGAAGGATTAGGCAAAGGATTCCTCTCTTTCCCTGTTGAAATGTGGACCCTCGCTCTTGTTTAGGGTATCTCAGGTGCTGGAACATCGGCTATTTCAAAAGAGTGGCTTCTCATAAGATACAAAATAAACACATCCAAGTTAAGAAGGATGTTACAGTGCCTGTATATCTGTTTATACTTGAGGGATTATAGCAATGGTAGCCTTACCAGATTTTTCAAAGCAAGTATCTTAATCATGTTCTGGACTTAATTTAATTTAATCCAGAATTTCTTGATTTTTTTCTTGGTGGTCCAATATCAGAAAGACTAGCGTGTAATTCACCTGATGTCTAAGGCCTCCTGCTCTTTGAAGCTACTTCTGTTTTTGTAAAATTCAGTGAACGTCACTCTTAAGTGCAGTCATCTCAGATGAGTGTTGGGGTTCCTTAGTGGAAAAGAACATATAGAGACTAACATTCATATAATGTTTGTATCTTTGCTATGTGACTGTTGGAGCCAAAATTTGCAGATTTGAGGACATTCCATGTTTTAGGGTTTATCCAAGTGGCTGTGCAAACCTGGAGTATTTTATGTATAAATTATGGAGGGGAAAAAAAATACAGTAATGAAACAAGATGGTCCTTCTCTGATTTGGACCTTTTTCTGGAAAACAGGTAATTCTAATTCAGGTGGCTCTAGGCACTTTCCCTGCATTGAGGCTCCAGTTTTCTTCGTAGGTGGCTGTTAGCAATGCTGTGAAAACTTCTGATGTGAACAGTCTCTCCTGCTAGATGACCTATCCAGGACACAGTAAACCAAAGGTGCTTATTGCAAAAGTGAAGGGAGCATTCTTAATCCAAAACTAGTAGTAATTCTAGAACATAGCAGGCCTTGAGATTAAGCAAAGAAAGGAAATTGAATGTTTAATGGGATGTAAACTTTCCCAAATGTATTTTTTAAAAGCAAAATGCTGTCAGAGTGGGAAGCAAAGAGGCCTAGCTTTGTTCTGTGATGATATTTTGGGGCTCTGAGAAGTGTGTCATAGTTCTTGTGTGATTGACTGTGCTATGGGAGAGGCATTACTAAAAGAAAAAAAACCAAACCAAAACAAAAAACCCCAACCAGAGTAATTTCTCAGGACTGGGGAGGCAGGGGAGAAGGTGAGTGAAAAATGGGCTGCTTGACCACCAGATCTTCTCCAGAGGCCATCCTAGTACAGCTTAGAAGTGTGTGTGCACAGCTTTTCTATGCTGGCAGCAGTCGGCAAAGCATAGCTTTCATCCTTGTGAAAATAGTGTGTCTGGGAACTGATGTAAACTATTACAGCAAAAGCAAAGCACTGTTTTGCTGATACAGGCTGCATCTCCACAAGGAGATTTAGCAGGTATGGTTAGTCTGGGAAAGTGACTTCAGTGTTACTCATCAAAAAGCAACTATGTCCATTCATGAGTACAGAAATAATTGGCTCAAATGATAATGCCAGAGTTCAATGTCTGGCTTAAGAAAGAAAAAAAAGTAAAATAAACTCTAGAAGTCAACATAAGTTATGAAAAAGTGTAGTGCTTGTACTGGAAATGTGGGAATCGTGAAAAAAAAATTATAATTTGAGGGTAAATTAATGGTTTGCTGCTCAGAGCTGCTTGTGCATTGGGAGAAAATACCTTCACTATAGCCCGCTCTATCAACCTACAGAGGGAAAAGACAGAGACCTTCCTTCTGGACTGTTAAGAGAGTTTTACCTTTTATGAGGAAATGTATATGATAAACCTTTTATCTTTTTGACAAAATACAGTAAAATAATTATTTTAAATGTGGAGTTTTTATTTATTTCTAAGTGTATGCAGGTTGAAACTTGTCACAGTCAATATTCTTTGCCAACTAATTACAGAACAATGAAACTGGATTTTTGCTAACTGGGTAATTTGAAGCTGAACTTTGCTCTCAAATGATGATGTGTTATGAAATGTTTCAGACAGTTTTCATTTGTATGTATAGTTTCTTTATGAAATGTGATTTGATGCATAAACCTGATGAATTACTATAGTTTCTGAATTTGTGGGATGTTTTTGCCCTTCTCTTTAAAGTGATGAAATAATAAGGAGTATTTTTGTCTTTAAAGTGCTGTCTTGAGGTCTGCAGGGTTGGCACTGTCTGTTTTTCAAGATTGGCTATGTTTCATCATTGGCTTCCCAGGTGGTATGATAACATCCTTTACTCCCAGATACAGAGACAGTAAGCTGTATGTTGTTTCAACAAAATAAACAATACTGGGAACAGAGTTATTGCATTGATCGGATTTTCAATAACAAAATACTGAACCATGTAAAGAAATGGCGGATTTCTTGTAAATAAAGATTTCACATCTGAGTCTGCAGAAAAGCTCAGTTATGTTGGTGAGTTCTTGGTTTTAAAAGGTGATGAGCTGAACTTTTCAAAAGAAGTTATGACTGCTGCTGCTGTTCAGGTTGTGAATAGAGCAGAACTCCACCCTGTGATAGCAGCTGACAGTCTGCTGCTTATACTAAGAATGTGTCACTGCTGAACAGAGATGGTACTAAAGCAGAGTTAAACAGAGGCCTGCAAATTCTGATATCAGAGATTCTTCGATCAAAGATCAAGGATGTTGGTGAGGCTCCTGAGTGAAGTGAACTTGTGGAAGACAGCTTAGAGCTCATACTTGTGAGAGACCTTGAGCTTCCTTCCTGAACAACTGATCTGGAAGGTCATAGTCATCTTCTGCTCCTGGGAAGGGTTTTGTCAGCATCTTCACAGCAACTTCATGGTTGCAAGGCATATGAAAATGCTTAAACTGTTAAATGCTGTTGTAGGATAATTGCAGTCCTACTTGGCACCTGGAACTAGTTCTGCTCATACTTGGACATGGCTTACATTCTCACACAAAACTAAAGCTCATTACAGGAACGAAACTCCTGGTTTTACAGCTGACTTCCTCTGAAGCATGTGATGAAATTAAAAAAAGATGCACAGAGATAAGTTTTCTCTATGCCATTCTGTCTTATGACTCAACTCCCAGGTCAGATCTTGGCTGGTTCTGCAGACTGTCATGCTATACAACTTGCTTTTTTCTTGGGGTGCAAGGTGTATGTTAGACTTATCATCTCACCTTGCTGCTATGTTGTTTTTTTTAAAAAAAAAAAGTCTTCCATGATCATCACGTTACATCACTAAGTTCCAAAAGGAACTTCTGGAAAGCCAGATGGCACGATTTCCAGCAGTAGGACTTGTTGCACAGAGAAATTGCTGGAATAAAGTAGCAAGCAATGCTGGCCAGCACAGCCATCTAAGAGCTGAAAATGCAGTATTTGCAGACTGTTGTCCACTTAGCACCAGTTATAACTAGTGTATTTTTCCCTCCTTAGTAAAGCAAATTAACATTAGTTCTTAATATTTTCAGAGTACCTGTCAACCAGTGATTCTGCTACAGAAATAGTCCAGCTGCTTCCAAACTAAAGTATAGGAGCAAAGCCACAAAAATAAAATTTTAAAAGATCTCACAGAGATGTGATCTGTACTAACAGACAGTGCTTTTGTCTCATGTAACGTGTAATGAAGCATTGACAGGTCCCTTGTTTTCCTTACGTACCTATTGGGGCAGTTCAAGGTTAAGTGCTGCTTGGGAGAGACTCCATATCCCTCAGCATATTTTGCTGGAACCTTCTTCTGCAGCTGATTCTCTTGCTTTCCCAATGTCTATCTATCTACAGTAGTTTTCACTTTGACATCTCTGTTTCTATTGCAGCTGTGTTTTGCCAGTGCTAATGAAAATAATCATCAGACTCCCTTTATGTGGCCTGTATTTCTTATCTCCCACTGTCTCTGTCTTACAGCTCCCTCTGTTCCTGCTGAGTGTCAATGTTTCTTCAGTAAGAAAGTGACAAGCACTTGCAAAAAGTAGATTTTGCTGGGAATGACTGGAATAGATTGAGATGAAGCCAAGGGAGCAAACTGGTAGGCTGCAAATTGACCTTTGTGGGCAGTATGTCTGTGAAAATAGCTTTTTTCAGCCTGTGTTATTTTTGTCGAGGGTACTGTATTGGCAGCTGGTGGCTGGAACAGATAAAGGACTGATGAACTGGCAGCATGGAGAAAACCTGAAAACATCCTCTCCATCCTACCTTAGGAATGACTAAGACTTGTCTAACTAGGAAGCTGGCCTAGGACGTGCTAGCTCAGCCACTCCACAGGCATGCCACTGTAAATCCTATAGGTTGATGGTTGTTTAAAGGTACCAGATGCTTCTGAAAACACCACAGTGCTAGTGTCAAGCACAAGAAGGGGAACTTGGCCCTGCATCCATGTTTCTTTCTCACCACAGTATGTCTTGGAATGAACCAAGAAGGCCAGAAATGGAAAGAGCAGCAAGCAAGCATGATGCAGGTTAGCGAGTTTACACCTGCACTAGCCAAAGCGAGGCTTGCAGGTGGAGCCTTTGCCCTGGTATGTCTTGTCTGCTCTCTCTTTTCACACAACAGCAGGAAATACTAGGTAGCTGTGATTGCAGTTGTATCAGGATTATTTTCTGGGCTTGAAATTTTCATCTTGCATCCCTAAAGAAGTCCTAAGGGCAATTATCAGTGATACGTATTGACACCTCTTGCTCTGAGTACCATCTGAGCCACAGTCTGATTCAGTCTTCAAACTATCCACTGTGAAGTTTAGTGGAGACAAATCACAGTCTGCTTCAATACCAGGTTCTCTTTGAGTTACTGCAAAGGGAATTTTTGCTCATTTACTGCATTTGCCTTGATTTCCCCAGCACTGAGACTCTTGTGCAGTCTTTGCACTACAGCTGTATTTGTATGTCATTGTACAGGATCCCCTCAGACTTAGCTTTGCAATCGTAGCCCTGCTAATCATGGCCCCTGCTAACCATCTTCTATAGGCCTCCTGTGCCCTTGTAATCGGCATGGGGGGATGTATTTATTGAGGCAGCACTGGAATTACCAGCAATCCAAAATATCTTTTGCTGCTGCTGAGTAATAGGAATTATTCATCTCCCAGTCAGCGCCTGTGGTCATTTTCTTGTCATTTATTGGCTATAAATGCATCACATCTGCTTTAATGGACAGAAAACAGTTGATGGAAAAAGAAAAAAAAAGCATAACGAACATAGAGAAAATATTGAGGTGGAACAACTTTGCAGAGCTGACCTTCACACTGGGAATACTTTATCAACATTCTTTTTCCAGGAGGAGGAGGAGTACTTTATTGCTGTGGATTTGAATAATAACCACCAGTGGTTTCTGCACTACTCCAGCAAGAGCCGGAGATTAGAACTGTAACAGGTTCGGTGTTGAGTAAAGTCAGACCTCTTTGGGGCTCTTTGTAGTTTGATACACAGCTTGCAAAGAATGGGTACAAGTAACAAGTTAGATCAGTGCAGAAATTCATGTGGTTGTAGCAATAGACAGAAATAAACTGATCTGTTTCTGAAACTGAGGTAAAAATGAAGCTCAAAGTAGGCGGAAACAGCCCAGAAAGCTGCTCCTGTCTCTGCTTTCCAGTCAAAGAGATCCTGTTCCGCACAAAGTGTCATCTGCTGTTGACACCTACTGTCAAGAGTGAAGTAGTCTTTTCCTTACGTAGGCAAAACCTGTGTCTTCATCCCGACTACTAGAAAACCAGCCAGCCCCCCTGGGTCACAGTGGAGTGTGATTCTCCCTTGGCAAGCTTGGCTGGTTAGATCTGTTACCATAAGATGTTTTGGCTTACGTTTCTACATGCTCTCCTTCATAACAGGTGGAAGAATTTATTTCCTTTTTAACAAGGAGCTGGGAATTAGGCTGTAACTAAGTAAATGAGTATAGAGCTGAAACAGTGCAAACATAAGTGATGAGAGGAAGACCACGCTTGAGTCAAGTAACCCAGTTTTACCCAAGATACTAATACATTCCCTTTAGCTCAGCCAGTGCAGCTGCTAAAGAGAAATGAAGGTTTGGACAGATAGTGACTTTTCTGTTGCAAAGCTGCTTTGGGCATAACTGAGAAATGGAACATTCTGCAGTAGCTGAAAGAGAAACACCACATGAACCATCTCCAACAGCATTCAACCTGAGAAGAGCAGGGAGTCCCAGACAGGAACTGGTGAGTGTTTCTAGCCTGAACATGCTACCGAGGCATCTGTTCCTCTCCAGACTTTGTTTGTTCAAGCACCTGAGAGGCCTTATGGAGTAACGAGTGCTACCACTTAGCCTCAGCTTGGCAGACTTCCAAGCCAAGAGGCTGTGGGTGAGGGAAGATTGTATTTGATGACCTTTGGACAGCATGTCAGGAGAGGCCCAGGGAGACAGCTGAGCTACAGGAATGTTTCATGCCCTGGAATGACAAATGAAGCAAGGGCAAGGAACGGTCAGCAGCAGAGACCTTTGAAAAGTGATGTAGGATGCTCTGGTGAAGCCAGTCGACATACTTAAGTATGTTCTTGTGCTCTGTGCATGCTAAAGGAGCTGCATCCGCCAGTCTGCACGTGGCTTATGAGAACACCATATACACTCAGCTGCTGGGTCAGGCCGCCCCTGCTGT